TAGAGACGGGGTTTCACCGTGTTGACCAGGATGGTCTTGATCTCTTGACCTCGTGATCCACCCGCCTCGGCCTCCCAAAGTGCTGGGATTACAGGCTTGAGCCACCGCGCCCGACCCTGCAATTTAAATTGTAAGTTATAGCCATGATATATAAGATGGAAAAGGTGTCTGAGTGCAGTGGCTCACACCTGTGTTCCAGCACTTTAGGAGGCCGAGGTGGGAGGATCATTTAAGCCCAGGAGTTCAAGACTGGCCTGGGAAACAGAGCAAGACACTATCTCTACAAAAAAGTTAAAAATTAGCTGGGCATGGTGACTTGTGCCTGTAGTCCCAACTACTCAGGAGGCTGAAATAGGAGGATCACTTGGGCCCAGGAGATGGAGGCTGCAGTGATCCATGATTGTGCCACTGCGCTCCAGCCTGGGTGCTAAAGACCCTATCTCAAAACAGAAGATGGAAAAAGCATTAAATTTGGTGGAAGACATGAATAGGAAACCTGTTCTGATTGACAGCAATATGTTGCACGAGAAAGCATTGAGCCTACACAGAGACTTAAACCAAAGTTCCCCTGAAACGGGACACCAAGCCATATACTACAAGAAAAGGATAGTTACACAGATTTCAGGAATACAGGTCAACAGCAGCCTAATGCTGTATCACAATGCCTGTGTCATCACCTCACTTCTCATCACGTAGGTATCATACCTTCTCACATCATCATAGAAAAAGGGTGAGGACAATGCAATAAGATAGGTGATGATAGATAGATAGATAGATGATAGATAGATAGATGATAGACAGATAGATAGACAGATAGATAGATACATAGATAGATAGATAATAGCTTTTTGTTTTGTTTTGGGCGTTCTTTTGTGTTTTTTTTTGTTTTTAAGACAGAGTCTCTGTCGCCCAGGCTGGAGTGCAGTGGTGCGATCTCAGCTCACTGCAACCTCCTCCTGTTCCCAGGTTCCAGTGATTCTCATGCCTCAGCTTCCCAAAGA